TGTGGTCCTTTGCAGGAATAACTCTGATGTGCTGCACACTTCAGATGGGGCTAAATCACTTGCCTGATATGAAGGATGCCTTCCTTGGTGACATTTTTAACACTGTTTTTAAGGAGCATATTGCCCAGCTGGAAATGAGAATCCATCAGGCAATAGCATATATCGTAGGTCCTGGTCAGTAAGTGGAAAGAATTGGGGTTTATGGCTCAATAAATCATAGAACTTTCAATTAGATGAGTAGCTTAATTACTCTGCTGGATTTAGCATCCTACCTTTTTTGTAAGATCGTATTCTTTTAATGGCAACACAGCAGTTACAAGAGCCTGACAAATTATGCTTCATTCCTTTCTATTCAGCATCTGAACTAAAGCAGATGGGACACTACATCTTAAATCCATGAAATTACTTTTAACATACAACTTCCTTTGACTTTCTGTAGATTATTCAAAATAAATGGCATCCATGAACCCCTCTTCCCCGGGCAGAGGATTTGCTTCCTTTCCATGATCCTCTCTAACCAGAAACACCAAGTGAAAGAAGAGTGAGATCAGCACACATTTACCAACGGGCATTGGGGTGCTTCTGGGGCTGGACTTCTGATGGGTTTACAAGGTGCTCATTCTGAGCATGTTCCACCCTCCATAGCTCAGACCAGCCTGGAAGCAAGCCTCTCCTGAGACCAGGGCTGGCAGCGCTCTGCTGTGCCATCAGCAGCATTGGACTAGAGAGGAAGGGACATCCACCCATCGCAGCATGAGCTCAGCCCTGCACTGCCCCAATCTGCCTCCTCATGCGCACCCAGCCTGGCCCTATGGAACCTCTTTCCAGTTAGGGACCGGTGTCCCCTGGGCTCCCTGCAGCGTAGCCGCTCCTAATGAAGATAAATTTAAACACATTGTCTAGAGGCTGAGCAGCTCCAGGTCCTGCCAGCCCCGTGTCCCAGGGCCGCTTACCGGTACTGCTACCCCCAGTGGATGGATCATTTCCTGCTGTTATCCAGCACTTTTTGCACGGGCTCAAGACACTTTACAAGGCATAAGTGAAGATACTGGACAGATCAAACCCTTAGCAGCCTTCCAGAAAAAGGAAGGAAGAAAATCTCTGCAAAGCATCAGCAACGCTTGCAGCCAGGCGGGCACCAAAGGCCAGTGACATTCCCGCACCCAGAGGAAAGGGGAGCTGCGCTTCCAGCCAGGCACGCCCATGCCCACAAGCCGCACACTGACTGCCCAGCTCCCGCAGCCCTGGGAGCAAAGCGGATGTTCGGCTGGGGAGGTGCTTGCCAGCACACGAAGCAACCGTTTACACCCACCCGAGCATTGCCAAAGCGCCGCAGACAAACACGGCTCCCGACACCAAACAGCGCAGAGCTCCCCGCCGGCCCCGGCGCTGGACACCGGCCGGCAGCAGCGGCACCCAGCAGCAGCAGCAGCCCCGGCCCCGCAGGCTGCGGGGAGCCGCAGGGAGCCGGGAAGGTGCGAGGAGGAGAAGCGCGGCCGAGCCTTTCCCAGCTGGATCCGCCGGCGCCGTCCCGCAGAGCTGTGAAATCCCACCGGGGAAAGCTGCTTGCTACCGAGCCTGGAGCAGGGCTGCGGAGCACACCCTGCCCGCAGGGGAGGGCTCTGGGGCAAGCACCACCCGCTCCTACCACCCCTGCCCAGCATCCTGCCCCTCTCCACAGCCCCACTCCCGGAGCATTCCTGATCATTCACACGCTGATCTCATCCCTGCTCCGTACCAGGGACATCCCGTGGCACAAACAAGCCGCAAGGCCCCGCTTGACTTCACACGCCCTGCTCTGGGGTGCAAGAACACGCAGAGCTCCGAGGGCTGGGCATGTGGCAATGCCACAAGCAAGGGTTATCTCCAGGAGAGCACCAAGAGGCGCCTCAGTCAGCATCATGCAGAAGCCGAGAGCACCCAGACCTGGGAAATAGCAAGCGACGGGGAGCTGGGGGGAGTTAAATCAGCCCGGTAATGCTGGCAGACAGGTACAGTGCCAAAAGGAGCTCAGACCTTGTGTCTGGTGCCCAAATCCCCTGCCAGAACATCGTTACCCATGGTTGTGGCTCATCCCTCCACACCATCACCAAGAGGAGCAGCCCAGGAGCATCCATGGGGTGCACCGGACTCGGGTGAAGCTTTGGCAGTTGGTGCAAAATGAGTCTGTCTCGAATGCTGAAGATTCGGGGTTTCATTAAGAGCAAGCCCTTCCCATACCCTAAACAGACCATCTCCATACCCTAAACAGACCATCTGACCCAAGCAGCAACTCCCCTTCTCGCCTTTCTTCCCATTCCACCTCATGAGTTATAGATCTTTCACACTCATAAAAGATAATCACCCTTCATGGGTGAAGTAGCCTCTATTTATACCCGGTAGCAGGGTTGATAGACTGTGCAATTAAAACCAGAGCTGCAGCAGTAGGACTGAGCACAACTCCTATGACAGGGAAAACCCCATATTTAGGTATTTTTACTCCAGGGGTAGAAGCCCAAGAGTCTAAGGTTTAACCCCAAAGCTTCACCGCCACTTCCCAAGACCAGCACTGCAGGAGGTGAGCACCATTCCCACGTTCCCTGCTGGGGTTTGGTCCCAGCACAGTGCATTGATTCCCTGGAAGCAGCCTCCTGCACGGAGCAGGGCCCTGCGCCTACACAGCTCCCTCAGGCAGCAGCGCCCAGGGGTTCCCTGCAAACAGCCCCGGGCTGCTCCAGCCCCAGGGAAACTCGAGGCTTTCTGCCCCATTTCCCACACGTGCGGCCCTGCCCAAGCCGGTTTTGGGCAAGCAGCAGCACCCCCCCTGCGGCAAACACTGGTGTGCACGGCAACTGCCCGGGTACCGCAGCGCGGAGCCCAGCGGGAGCTGCCGCCACGTCCCGGCGCTCCCCCCCAGAGCCCGGCCGTGGGCACAGCGCCCGCGAGGCCCGGCTCCGCGGGGGCATTATTTACCTCGTTAATTTCTAAGGGAGGTGTTCTAATTGCTTTAAATTACTGCTGCGAAAGCTGCAGCGGCCACCGATCAATCAGGCTGATTTACACCCGTGCCACCCACGGCGAGCCACCGATCAGCCGCCGCCACAGCAGCGATTATTGATGAACTTTCCTGGTTGATAATTAGCTACGAGCACACGGCCCGGCCCGGCAGTGCCAGCGGAGCCGCTGCGGGTGCCTCGCACAGCACCGGTCACCCCTGCCCAGGACACACGTGGTGGCACAGGGAGCAACCAGTCCCCAACCCGGTGCCACAGGAGCATCCTATCAGCTGGACCCACCAGCCAGCACCAAACCAGCCCCCCGCAGGCACCCAGGCACCAAGCACTCCTGGTAAACAGTGTTTATCACTGCCATTAATAGACTATTTAAAAGGAATCTTCTTTTACATGGGGTTACGAAGCAAGAGACTCCCTTTGTGCACTGGGCATTTATCTCCTATACCGTTAAGTGGAACAGAATTAGCATTACCACAAAAGCTTTAATTACAGCAGATACAAGTTGCTCAGGGCTGGACCAGGGCTGGGGCATAGGGGCAGCAGTGAATGCTCCATGCTCAGGGACTGCACCAGCCATGAAGCATTTAGTGACCACAGCTGACATCTGCTCATCACTGACTTGTATGCAAGGGTGAAAGAGGCTCCATCATGGTCCCAGCAAAGCCCAGCCTCAGCCATGGGCCAGCTCATGAACAGCAGGACAGTGGAAAAGGCTGCACCTTCCCCCAAATGGGACTACAGCTGCCAAGGAGCAAAGTCCCCCCACGCAGACCTGTACTGAAACAAAAGCTGCAAGGGAAGAGGGTGCCATTGCAATTCTGTGCAGGAAGACGCAGTTCCCATCCCCTGCCAAGAGCACTTCGGCAGTGACGGGCGCTCGCGTGCCAGCCATCCATCAGGCACTGATCTCATCCTTGATTTCCATGGACATCTTTGATTTTTCATCATAAATTCTCCTTGTTCCTCACTGAAGGCTGACAGGGATTTTAGGTCCAGAATAAAATGGAGAATATTAAAGCAGCTGCTATTCTATTGTGCCTATCAGCTCTTTGACTTTAAATGCTATCCTTATTAATGATAACACCGTAACACTTTAAGACCCTCAGCTAAGACCTTCAAGGGCATCGATTAAATGCAGCATTCCCTGGAAGACCCTCCCTTTTCCTTAAGGTCCCCCATTTTTAAAGAGGGGGCAATGGAGGCACAGGGATCCTGCTGACGCTGTTCAAGGCCCTTCCCAGGCTGGCAGAGAGTGCAGCAGCCAGCCTGGGCTCGGTGGCCCAGAAGCTGGTGACATCAATAGCGGCTTCGATGCATCCTTCCCAGCAAAGGTGCTCCAGGCACCGGCTGCCAGCGAGGCTGAGCTGCTCCATAAGAGAGGGTGCCCAGCACATCTCCAGGGGTGCTTCATGGCCCCCAGCCCCACCAGGGCCACCACCACTCTCTCAGACACTGTGCTCTTACCAGGGCACAAGCACCAGTGACTGAGCCCGCTGCTCCTCCCCAGGACACAGTGGATGGAGAGGTGCCCTCCCAGGGCAGAGGGCTCTGGTCCAGGGACACAGACCAAGAGGTTCCAGACCCAGCCCCCAGCCATGGCACCGTGCTGGGATACCCCAGCAAACCAGAGGGGTGAAGGCTGCAGCTGGGTGCTCTGGGGGAAGCAGCTCCAGTCCATGCTTTTGCAGGCAGGAGGCTGCTGAGGTTCAGTTTTTGTGGCATTCCCAGTCTGCCTCCAGCAGCACTGATCCCCGCTGTGCATCCTGCCCCACACTGAACAGCGCCTTGAGCCCATGCTGCGTGAGACCTCCCAGCTCAGCTCTGCACAACCCCTCCCCAAGGAGAATAAGCTGCAGGCTCCCAGGTTTGAGCTCCCCAGGTTGCTGCAGCACCAGCATCCCACCCCCATCAGCTGATCATCACCACTCTGTCATCTCCACCAAAGCCACACTTGGATTTGTCCGTTGAGCTCTGAATTTCCCCCTCAGCACAAACTCACTCTCTTACCTGCAGCCGCCCCATCGCGCCCCAGTGCTGCAGCCGAGCAGCACCTCCAGCTCCCAGGGCTTCCCCTTCCCTGGCTCCTGCTTTATAGAACCCCCGAAAGCAGCCCTGCACCATTTAGCACATTAGGGCTCCCTGCTCCAGGAGGAACCCATTGGTTCCAGGGCACAGCTGCTGCCAATTACCACTACTTAACTGGCACATTAAACACATAGTAAGGAATTAGGAGTTTCGTCTGCTCTCTACTTAACAATAACAAAGTCACTTGACCTTTTTTCAGCCACCACAATGGCTGTGTAAGTGACTGTTTGACAAATGGGCTTTGTAATGGTCTCTGTTCTTTCTCATGCGACTGGTGGAACAGTTAATATCTTGAGTCACAGCATTAAGAGGAGTGCTCGTGATTAATTTAAGATGTCAATTAATCACCCCAAATGGACTGGTTTGTCATCACTTCCTAATGGGAAGATGTTGATTTGTCCCACAGAATTTGTAATAGGAAGAGAGGCTGAAGGCTCTGCTCGGAGAAGCCTGGCTCGGGTGCTGCAGGAATAGACCAGGGGAAATAAACACTTACACATCCGAGTGTCCTGTTTGCCCCCAGTTTAAAAGTCACAGCGCCCTGGGGAGAGCTCCCGTGTATTTATACCAAAGTGCCAGCACTGATTTGACTTCAGACACCTTCCTGGAGCAACCTGATGTGAGCTGCAGCACGGGGCAAGTGGGGCAGTGCCAGGGCGCACAGAGGGTGTGGGGGGCACCCAGCGTTCATCCCGGGGGTGACACCGTGCCCAGCCCAGCAGGCAGCACCAGGCAGCACCAGGCACATCTCCTGTCTCTCACCCTGCATTGTGCATCCAGCGCACGCAGAGGCAGCTCGGCAGGGGAAGGGGAGGAAGCAGCCGAGCGTGGCTGCACAGGTTCATGCCGTGCCGGGGGCCCGTGGGCAGCTTCTCCTCACCGGGATCCATCAAGGGAGATGGATCTGAGCATCACCGCCTGCCCGCCTCGTCCTCCCCCATTCCCGATCCTGCCTTTCCAGGTCACCTTCCCATTACCATCTGAGTGTGAAATCAGATGGGTTTGCAGCCACCTCTTGTAGAACAACACAGGTCCACGCTCTCTTTGCTGGAAGCCTTGGCTGAAGTGAGAGGTCCTTTCTAATGCCAACCAATGCCTCATTCCTGCACACAGACGAATGGGTCCAGGTGGGATTTTCAGATGCTCTCAAACCTCATGAATATAAATGAGACTCCTCATAGGTCACACACTGGGAAATGCAGCCACAAGCCCCTGCCTCACACAGGTTCTCACTGGGAGGGTCCTGCACAGGAGAGCGGTGGGTGCAGGGGACACTGCTATAGGCCAGTGGTAACCCTCTGCCAGAGGAGGGCAAGGTGTGATGCTGGTGGGATCCTGGCAGCCACACTTCCTCAGCAGTGCATGAACATCTTCCTGTTCAGGGTGTGCAGTGCATTCTGCACTCTAATTTTACACTCTATTGTTCGTAGATAAAACACCCAGGTCCAGTCTTCAGGAGCCCCAACACATCCCTCCTCCCTGGCGTAGGCAGCAAGGACTGGAAAAATCTTCCCTTTCAGCCGGACAAAGAAGACATTGACAACTTCAAATCTGTCCTTGGCTTCTTTTTATAGAAACACACCATGTGCAGCGATGATTCAGAACTGAGCCCCAGCGACTGCTGCGCTGCTGCACCGGTCCCCAGCTAACCCCTCCCTGCGCAGCCCCTCCAGTGCGGGTCCAGGGACGCTGCCCACCGCGGGCTGGATGCAGGCTGTGCTGCAGACCGCAGGTCCCTCAGGAGAGCTGCGCCCGGGCTCCCAAGCCAGGCTTTATCTTTGCCTTCTGTAAATGACTCTGCTTTAGACTGTCCGAGAGAGAGCTGTGAGTTCCTTCACCAGCACAGATGCCCTTTCCGTGCACGTTACCAGCTATAGGAGCATCTGCTGTTGGGAGTGTTGACATGGACGGATGTGTTGACACAGACAAACTTTCACCCAGGGCAAGTCGTTAACACAGCAAACCCGTCTGCCGGGCCTGCCGATGGGATGTAAAGTGCAAGGAGTGCTTTCCATGGACAACTAATTGACATGTTACCGAAGGGAAGGAAATGCCCCGTTCTCATGGGAATGGGAAGCAGGGCCAGGCGCTGCAGTGTCCTCCTGCTGCTGCAGGGCCCAGACCTGGGGAGCCTCCAGCCAGCAGCACGTGTGTGCTGACACCCCCTGCACATGGCAAGGCTGCGTCTTAAAGCTGGGGCACGACGAGCGCCATGTGTGGGGAGGCAGCCCCAGGGCTGTTTTACAGCACCACCACCGAGATGCTCGTGAAGCGGCTGAGCCACGATCGAGCTCCTTGCGAATGCACAAAAGCATTTCCTGCTCTCAGCAGATCCCTGCGGCCCGACTGCGCAGTCGCTGCCAGGGACCAACCTGCTGGGGAGCACAATCCTCCCCCCGATCGTGGCGGCTCCGAGCCGCAGGAGACAGCGACCGCCGCAACCGCCCCGCCTGGCTCCACGGGGCTACTTCCCCGGCTGCACTTTTCCAGGGTGTTTCTGGGTCACTTGCTGCTGTACGAGGCATTACCTGGGCTCGTGTGAGCGGTGTCACCCCTCATCAGCCTCACACTGTGCAATAAATAGAGTCCAAGTGGAGACAGAATTCTTTCCCACCCTGAAGTCTGCAAGAGGAAGGGTTTCTGGAGCCAGAGCTGGAGCATCACCTGCCTCTGGCTGTCAGAGCCCAGCAACACACAGCACTCCAGGCTGCAAGCTCACAAGGCAGATTAATCACCTAACGAAGAAGTCACTTAGGATGTTAGAAAACAAGAGCAAGGATGGGAAAAACGGACTGGCAGTGGGATGCAGATGAAGAAAGCCCACAGAAGGTGGAAAGGAGATGTGTAACTGGTCTCTGTCACACTGCCCCAGTGTCTAGCAATGCCAGCATCGAAAGAGCTCCAGCATAGAGAGACATGGGGTTGGCTGCACATGAGCCATCAGCCCCCGACCCACAGCCCTGGCCCAGGTCAGCTCTGCCAGCCCCACAGCTCTGAATAGGCACACAGGGTACAAGAGTGCTCCAGAGGTTTCCTCTGGCTCGCCCCTCACTGCTGCTGGCACCGCTGCTGGCACCGCTGCAGGCCTGGCTCCCCGGACATCACTGCTCCAGCACAGTCTAATGGGAGTTCTTCGTCCCCACACCCCATGCAGCACGTGCTCTGCTTCAGCACCTGCAGCCAGAGCCAGGTTTGCCTCATGCAGGTTCCTCTCCATGAGCAGCTCCTGGCCCATTGCACGCCTGGGGCCCATGAAATCCCCATCAAACCCTGTGCTCCTCTTCCCAGCGCTGCAGGAAACACATCCCCTTTTCCCGCAAGTTCCCATGAAATCACACAAACCTCGGGGGCTGGGGGAGGAAGCGCTGCCCTTCCCCACAGCCGCTGCCTCCCATGGAGCAGCTTCCAAACAACAACTGTCCTCTGTCCATGGGCAGTGCTGCTCGCCACAGGCGGCTGTGCTGAGTCCCCACGGTAAGCATCAGGATCTCTGCACGGCGTTCCCTCGCCAAAGCTCCATGACAAAACCCTCAAATCTGGAATTTTAACCCATAACAAACCCATGAAACCTCAGCTGCGTTTCCATTAAAACATCCAGCCCCTTTCCTAGGCTCACGCTGCAGGATGCTGGGGCCTCGGTGCTTGCACCAGCACCTCCAGCAGAGTCACTGAGTTGCCCAAACTGGTGCCAGCAGGGAAACTGGTCTTACTGGGCAGTCTGATCCCAGGGAGGGAGGTGCAGGTGGCACAGCCCTTCCCACTACTCAGAAGCCTTCCCAAAGCTCTTCCTGCACAAGGATGTCGGTCCCTTTGTCTGGGGAATTGTTTCTAATTCGCTCCAGCACAGAGGTGAGCCATGAGATGGGAAACGCTCCCCATCTGCACAACCCCAGTGCAGGATGGGCAGAGATTCCGCATCAGGGCAATGCTGCTCCCCAGATCATCCTCTCACACTGACAAGGGAGAATCTCAGCATGAAAACACACAGTGTGAGTCTGATGTGTAAATCAGGGAACAAAACATCCAGTAATTAATTTTCTTCCTTTAAAATCTCTCTTGCAGTTGATTCAGAAAAAAAGAGAAGTTGTATTAACAAAAGAAAATATTAACTCATTTCTTGTTATCTCAAGTCCCTTAGAATAAAAGAAATCTCATGTAACAAGCATCTGGAGATCACCCAGAGAGTGGCAGTGCCTGGCGGGATGCAGAGAGAGCAGGGTGAGTTAAGCAGCTCTGTTTATTACATGGATATGCAGCAGCAGGGCCCGGGTGTGCTCATGTCCCCATTCCAGAGCCACTCTGGAGCTTCCCCAGGCCAGGCTCTGGACTGGAGCCTGTCACCTCAGCGGTGTCTGGGGCCGCAGCGGGGCCCCTGGCAGAGGCAGCTCTTTGCTGGTGTAACTGGAGGTGATGGAGTGCTCAGGGCACTGCCTATGCCCATCCTGCTCCTGACGGCTCATTCTGCTGCACCAGAGGAGCTGCAGACCCAGCTGGGTGCTGGTGGCACCCGGCAGGGACAAGACTCTGGTGTCACCACTGCCTGGAGAGCAGTTACCCCAAAGATGATTTCCTTCTGATCAGGGATCAATTGACCAGTTGCTCCCGTTTGTCCCCCAAGGACCTGCGGCCTCCAGCTCTGCATGCAGAGCAGTCACTCCTGTGTCCAAATGCAAATGAGGTCTGTGAGAGGCTTTGCTTTGAAACCCGCATTATTCCCTGGGGTCCTGACCCTCCCTGCCTCGTCCCTCACCCCAGCCTCCATCGCTGCCCCTGGCTCGGCCTTCCCAGAGCAACAAAGATTATGGGAAATAAAAGGGAGCCATGACCATCTGGGAATCATCAAGCAGGAGCCCAGAGGGGAAGGAGCAGGCAGCAGAGGCCGGGAAGACCCCACTGCACACCACCCGCGTGCGTCCCAGCCCGGCCAAACCCCAACAGCCTGGTGGGGGCTGTAGGGACCCGGCCCCGGCAGCACCCACGGGGGCACGAGCGGCTCC